AAAATTGTGCAGACCCCCTGATGTGTTTGGATTGCAGCTTCTAGCATCCTTCCCACTGGCTGTGCTGGGACTTGCAATTTAACAACATAGTAAGACACACAACCCCCCCCCCTTTTTTTTTTTTTTTTTTTCAATTCGTAGGGTAGAGAGTTGAAAAGATATTACTGAATGGGTTTGAGAATGAATTATTTGTGTTTTAAACTATAAGTTTATAAAGCTCGATTATTGTTTGTACAGGGGAATAGCTCAATACAATATCTAAGCCACTGATAAGAAAGCAGGAAACAATTTTTATATTTTTGTATACATGTTTTGTTTTTGTATTTGTAGTGGTAGATATAAGCATTGGTGTGTGACGTCTTGGTTTTCTTATGTTGTGTGTTGTTAGAGGGATTTGGGTGCATATTTATATGTTCATATTTATTTTTATTCTAGCAATAAGGGTTGTAGTTTCACACAGTGCCTAGAATTATCTGCCAGAGATGTCTAATGTTGTCAATCAGGGGGTGCAGTAGAAAAATTCTGAATCTTTCTCCAAATTGCACATCCCAGGATTCCATAGATGAGAGCCATGGCAGTGAAAGAGGTATCAAACCGCTATAATTGTGCTATGTGGCTATACCTCATTTGGAAACTAGAAGGGCCTAGGTTTTGTTGCTAGTCCTAAATGGACTAAACCCATTGAACCATAGGATTAATCTGTGTGTTCACTCACCACCATTTAGCAACGGAATTTGGGATAAAAAATTTAAAAGTGAGAAAAGTAATTTAAAGATGCAAGGTTCTTTTTTTTTTTCTTGGTCATTTAAAACTATTTAGCCTGAATTAACCTGGGATTTTCTCCATGCACAAGGATGAACCTGGACCCCTGTGCACCAAGAGGGTAAGGAGCAGCCTTGAGCCACTATTAAAGCTCCTCTGGTGGAAATCCATGCCTCTGTCAAGGTTGGAAGTGGGATTGGTTGCAGACAGTGAGGTCAGGAGGAAATTACATGCAGAAACTACTGACAGTGATAATTACATTACACTACGCTGTTGCTGATAACAACAATGTCCTGGCACCACATAAGCCAATTAATACTTATAGTGTGATAAGAATCCATTATCCAAGTGCAAACTTCTGGTGATAGCACCTCTTAAACCATTGCAGTTCTGAAGTCTCTCAGTGGTTTCTTGAGTAGCCTTCATGCAGACATAACCATATAATGAGAAATCTCTTCACATGCTTAAGTGCACCTTGTTTATATAAATATATATATAAATTGTACAGTGGATAACACATCTCCACCATTAACTTTCCAGGCAGCCCCCTGAGATTGAAGGTAACCATGAATTCATTTACGGTAGGATGCCAAATTCAATCCAAGATGTGTGTGCTTATGTGCCCTCAAGTCATCTGTCGACTTATGGCAACCTCATGAATTTCATGGGGTTTTCTTAGGCTGCATCTACACCACAGAAATAACTTAGGAGCTTATCGCTTGCCAAATTAAGCAGGCTTACCTCTTCTGACTTCAATCTTGGATCCAGGATGCCCCCGGAGGTTATCAGACATAAATCGCCGCCGAATCAGCCACAATGCTGCCAGCTGAATCCATCCCAGGTTGAAGCCTTACTCAGCCGGCACTTTGTCAAAGTCGGGGAGCTTCTGGCTTCAAAAACTGGCTGGCTCAATGAGGCTTCAACCTGGAATGGATTCAGTCTGCAGCATCACGACTAAATCAGCAATGATTTATATCTGATGACATCCAGAGTTATCCTGGATCCAGGACTGAAGCCAGAAGAGGTAAACCAGCTTAATTTGGTGAGCGATAAGCTCCCTAGTTAGACACCACTTTAACTGCCATGGCTGAATACTATAGAATTCTGAAAATTGTAGTTTTGAGAGACATTTAGCCTTCTCTTTCTTTTTTTTAATTTTTAAAATTCTTTATTAATAATCAGCACATTAACATAAACAGACAAAAAACAACAACATTCAAACAAACAACACAAAACAAAATAAAAAACAACTACAAAGCATTAAAAACATCTCATAACAATCATATTAATTTTTTTAAAAAAAAAATATGCATGTACACTCTCTCAGACCCAGAAAAGCCATGGCAAAACCCCTGTGGAGATTTTGCCAAGAAAACCCCAAGAACAAGTAATAACAACAATAATCATTATCATCATGGAAACGACTGGAAGGCAGGCCCACAAACAAGCAGGGATGCATGCACACTGTCTCAGCCCCAGAAAAGCCATGATGGCAAAACCCCTGTGGAGATTTTGCCAAGAAAACCCCAAGAACAAGTAATAACAACAATAATCAATATCATCATGGCAGACGGCTGCGGAGGCAGGGGTGGCGGCAGCGGCAGGACCGGCCTGAGGCTTGTGCAAAGGCCTCGGGGGACCGCATCCAGGCCCCGGGCCTTAAGTTGCCTACCCCTATAATAGACCATGCCATCCTCTTGGATCGCCTGAGAGAGTTAGGAATCGGGGGCACTGCTTTGTGGTGGTTCCGTTCCTTCCTCTAGGGTAGATCCCAAAGGGTGACGCTCAGGGACAGTTGCTCTTCCAAA